TTTTTTTTTGGAGTTTATGGCCTGGTATCTAGACCTTTAGGCCAAGTCTTAAGTATTTTTATTCGGTTTATTGTAATTTCCCCACTCCTTCATAGTATACTGCTTCACAATATGTTGATGCGTCACATTGTGCAGTTCTTGGGAGATTTTGGCGGCAACTTGATCCAGCAGACAGCTGATAGTTGGCGATGGTATCTAAAGGTGCCTATGCAAACAAACAGCTTATCTTGAGAATCCATCACCATCAGAGCACTTGTTTCACTGTTTCCACTAATAGTTCACATGCGTAGACACTTAATACACAAAATCGCAACACTTTTACATATCAAAGTCCACTTCAAACCATTATTTAAACAATAATACAGGAGCAGCAAACCGCCGCCGGTCAATTTCCCGCCAAAACTCCAACTTAAAGATGGATGACGGGCTCAGTGTTACTAGATGAAAATTGCAAACTACCGTCTCAGCAGACTAAAACTACTGTATCAATGTAAAACAAAATACAAGGTTTTTATGATAATTTATTTTATTAGAATTATATTTTTCTTCCAAAAGTTCCACTTCTTGGTCATAAATTGACGAAGTCATGTCTTTCGATGGTGTAATATCAACACAATCTCCATTTCCGTGAATAGATTGTTTAGCCAGAGTGTTCCCATTTATAGTCTTCGTAATCACTATATTTCAGGATTTCTTTTCCACGTTTTAATGTCATTTGCTAAACATTGGAGTGGGGCAAGGAGAGAATGTTAATCGAATGTTAATTTTACCACACATAAAAAAGATACCAATTTATTATAGTAAACGGCATAAAGATTTTATGAAAATCTAACCGGAATCAAGAAATCTGAAGAAAAAAGAGTTGTTTTGATATTCGTGTTCTGGCTAATGTAATATAAAAAAATGCGTGTAACGAATGCCCTATATGGTATATTATTTATGGTAACGAACAACGAACTACTAAAAGGATTTTCTATCAATCTTAAAGTACCTATAAATGTAAAATGTACAACTTTATTTAATATTATTAATTATTGACCAGCGCAATATTTCAACTTATAATACCTGTGAAAACTACTAGACAATCGCTTTTAGTTTGTTTTTAGGTTATTGTGATATTCATATTTTAATTGTTAATTTCATAGTATTCCCGTTAGTTACGGTAAAACTAATATTACTTTTGTAATCTATAGGTTATAAGGAATAAATCGACATGTATTTCATAAAGTTACGTCACAACTCGTGCTGGGCCCATTCTCCAAACAAAAAGAAATTGTCTACTTTAAAACTTAAATATATTTTATCTACTTTGGTTCTTCATCTGAGCTATCTGTGAACAATGAAAACATTACTTAACTATACTATACTTACCAAGAAAGTAGCGATCAAAATAATTTAAAATTAATAATATAATACATTCATATTTGACTTTGCTTGAATTACTCACCTTTTAGCCGTGTAGTGGCGGTTAAGAATATCCACTACCCCATATGTTCCCTTGGGTGTCGTAAGAGGCGACAGTGGGAAACAGACAGGAGATGGGCAGCAGCATCTTCCTGATAACAGCAAAAGTACAATAAAAAATCTGCGGTTGCCAACCCGCTCGCCAAGCATGGCAACTAAGGCAAATACCCCTCCATGGTGAGAGTAACAAAGAGACGGCCCCCAGTCCCCGGCGGCCCCACTATTCCTGGCTACGGTGGCGACCATGGTAACGGCGGGGCATGGGGTACTAAGAATCTCCAGTGGAGGTTCGGTTGCCACCTAAGACGACTCGACCTGGCAACATACAATGCACGCACCCTGAGGAATGATGAGAAGATTTTGGAGCTGGAAGAATAGATAGACAAGTTAAGCTATTATATTATAGGATTATCCGAAGTCCGAAGAGAGGGGAGGACACGGTAATCCTCGAATCCGGCAATTTGCTCTATCATCGAGAGGGCGACCATCTGTCCCAAGGAGGTGTCGGATTTATCGTCCACAAGTCTCTCATTAACAACGTAATAAAGATTGAGAGTGTGTCGACGAGGGTTGCGTACCTTATACTCAGAATCACCAAACGGTATTCGCTGAAGGTCATTTTTTTATAGGACAAGGGTGACACACGAGCACACAGTCCACCTGATGGTAAGTGGTTTCTGCGGTCCATAGACATCTACATACATCCTCTCTTACAAATCAAAATGTAGATGCGTTGTCTAAGATGGAATGCCTCATTTCACCTGCAGTCACCAAGCGAAACGCAGAGGTAAACTTCTACTTCACGCTGGTTTTCTGTGAGGTCGTGGTACCACCCCGGTTCGAGCCGGCCCATCCGTGCGACAGCAAAAGCTGCCGCGTGGCTCTACCACTGTTCACACTGTACACTTCTACAGGTTTATGCACCAACCTCGGCACATCCTGATGAGGAGGTGGAGGAAATGTATGAGGATATCTCTAGAGCCATGCATTCCTCCAAAACCCACTATGCGGTGTTAATGGGAGACTTAAATGCAAAACTAGGCACAAGAGAGGAAGGTGAGCTGAAAGTAGGGAAATTTGGAATAGGGCAACGGAACCCAAGGGGTTGGCAGCTGGCCGACTTCATGTAGAAAGAGGGACACTTTATGACGAACTCATTCTTCTAGAAGCGGCCCCACAGGAAGTGGACCTGGTCGAGTCCCGAAGGTTCGACAAAAACTGAGATTGACTTCATTATTACGACCAGACGACAACTGTTCAGTGATGTCTCCGTGATCGCGAGGGTGAAAACTGGTAGCAATCACCGAATGGTTAGAGGCATACTGAACCTAAACGGTAAGTTGGAGAGGTCTCGTCTAATGAAGTCAACGCTCCGTCCCCCTCGTGCTCTGTTCCAAAGTCCCGTAACCTTTCAGCTCGAGTTACAAAACCGTTTACAGTGCCTAGAAGACTGCAATGAAGTGGACGATATGAATGACAAGCTCGTGGAAACTAACCATGCGGTCGGAGCTAAGTTCTGCAAGACCCGCTGCAGAAGAACACAAAAACTCTCCTATTATTTATTAATCTCATGGCTGTTAGACGGGAGATGAAGCTACAGTCTTCAATAGATTTGACAGCATACAGGCAACTGAATAGACAGATCTCCAAATGCATGCGGCGGGACTTACGCAACTTCAATACAGCTTGTATTGAAGAAGCGATCGAGAGGAACCAAGGCTCCAAAGTAAATGCCAGAGATCTGCCTGCCAGAAAGAGCCAACTGTCAAAGCTAAAGACCGAGTGTGGCAGCGTCGTTTCCGGGACACCTGAGATTTTGAGTGAGATTGAGTGGTTCTATGAGCAGCTGTACACGTCATCGTTGGAGCCAAACGCAAGTGTGAATAACGATCCAAGAGCGATTCTTATCCGATACTATTCCGAAAATATTGCCAACGTCAGTCTGGGCGAGATTAGAATGGCTCTCCAGCACCTTAAAAACGGAAGGGCCCCAGGTGAGGATGGAATTACAGCGGAGCTTTTGAAAGCGGGTGAAAAACCAGTATTTGAAGTCCTTCAGAAGTCCTTCATTTATTCCGTCCTCCATGTTGGCACTACTCCGGAGACGTGGAGCAGAAGGGCGGTGGTCTTGTTCTTCAAAAAAGGTGACAACGCTCTCTTGAAGAACTACAGACCGATTTCCCTTCTGATCCGCGTCTACGTGCTGTTTTCTAGAGTCATTACGAATCGTCTCGCACGCAGACTTGACGACTTCCAGCCTACCGAACCAGCTGGTTTCCAAAAAGGCTTTAGTAACATAGACCACATATACACCCTTCGGCAAATTGTACAGAAGACAGAGGAGTATAATCTGCCACTTTGCCTTGCGTATGTGGACTATGAGAAATCCTTTTATTCTGTCAAAATTTGGGCGGTGCTGCAGTTACTTCAGCGGTGCCAAGTTGACTGTCGGTATATCGAAGCGCTGAAGTGTTTGTACAGTAGGACTACGATGGCTATCCGAGTAGTCACTCAGCGAGCTATGGAGAAGACTTCGCTCGGGGTTTCTCTGCGTGTTAAACTAAGAAATGAGGATATCCGCAGTAGAAGCAGAGTAACCGACATAGGCCAACGGATTAGTAAGCTGAAGTGGCAGTGGGCCGTCCATATAGCTCTAAGAACCGGCAATCGATGGGGAAGAAAATTTCTCGTGTGGCAGCCTCAGTTCTCGACTGGTAGGCAAAGTGTAGGGTGACGCCCACTAGATGAAGTGACGACCTGGTAAGACATGCAGGAAGTCGATGGATGCAGGTGACTCAGGACCGTGCTTTGTGGCATTCATTGGGGGAAGCCTATGTTCAGCAGTGTACTTATGAAAGACTGTTATGATGATGATGACTCACCTCTTTGCCAAGCTTTGTTACTTTGGAGGATGTTGATCAAATTTCAGTATCAGTCTCATAATTATCACTACCCATCATGATTTCGTATTGTACGATTTTGTATAGAAAAACATTTTGTGCATAAGTAAACAGAAAAAAAAATTATTTAATGAAATGTAATTCAATTCACTCATTAATATACTACTCATTTTAATACAAGTTATACAAAGAAAAACCACTGCCATAAAATCTTTTTTATTGTGCCGGAATTATTTAGCTGACAAGCAATGAAATGTTTGGGGATTCCCGAACGGCAGCGGCCGTTGTTGCTGATTAAGTCTACCTAAATAGAATATGCATTTTGTTTTACGTATTTTTTTATATCTTTTGATTCAAATTCAACTATTATTTACACGGTAATTTATATTTAAAAATCCCATAGAAAATGACACGGAAATAGATCATTACCGTAGACTGTGTTTTGGTAAAAAATACCGTGCATTTATGGCAATTATCGTGTATCTGGTAAGACTGACGTGTTTGTCATTGTCATTTTAAATTTTGAAATGTATCAAACTTTAAAACTTTAAATTTTTAAACTGAAAACGGATTTTTCATTGTTTCTAACTTGTAATTAGTTTAGTTTATAATAACTTATGGAAACTTAATAGCATCATGTCGTCAGTAAAAGTTATACAGTCCACTTATGTAAAGACTGCATCATTATCAAAATCGTTGAACACCAGCTTAAAAGCCCATTTCTTGTATCCTAAATTAGTGATTTTAGAAGAGACTAAGAAAGTGTTAATTGTGGATATTGAGGACAAAAGTATCGAAGACGAAATCGTTTCATTCGATTTAGAATATGATATTGTTGATGATATTCTACAGGACCATATTCTTTGGCTTACTCTGAAATCCTATGAACTTGTAGCGATCAACATTCATATGAGTAAATTAATCAAAATCAACTGTAATAATTATGCTTACTACAGAATTAGACAGTTTGGGAAAGTGGAAAATAATTTGCTTCTGATGAGCGAAAGCGGGGAATATCTGGCTATACCTTTTACAACTGTTGAATTAGACAATAAAATAAAGGGGGGTGAAAAAGAAATTACAGTTTCGCTTGAAAAGCTTAACATTAGTCGGTCTGTTGTGATATCTCAGAAGACAAAAGTTGATATGAATGGTCTTAATGCATACATTGAAGCAGGCAAAATCATTTTGGACTGTAGTATTACAGGCTTATCAGAGATGTTATCTGCAAGTGTTGAGTTAGAGTATGTTGTTCCATGGGGTCAGTCGGTCATATTGGGCAATAAATCAAAAATGTGGGTAATAGATCTTAGAAATTTCAATACAATATTTGAATTTGAAAAGGTTGAGTCTAATTATTATCCCTTAAAAGCTGTCAATAAAACATTCTATTACTTATTATGGGATAAAGAAAAGGTAAGATTTGAATTTCTTTAAAAAGAAACTAAATTTAACTAAGGTACAATAGTTTGTATTCTTTAAATATTTCATGTGTTTAAAGTTATATGACTGATATTTTTTAAATTATTAATTTATAAATAGTATAGTTGTCCATAGCTTGCTGAGGATGGATGAGGCTGTTGGATGATGCTCGATGGATACACATGGCTCAGGACCGTGCTTTGTGGCATTCCTTGGGGGAGGCCTATGTTCAGCAGTGAACTTGCGAAGGGCTGTATGATGATGATATATTGTCCAATTTGAAGTTGATTTACATTTGTTAGATTTGTTATAATTACATACCAGAAGCAAAATAAATTAAAAAATTACTAAAATCTTAAACAAGAATCTTATCTTAAAAATGGCTTGTTAAATGAAAATGTAAGACAGAATCTTATTATATATAATTCATTACTTCTTCTGATATAAGATATCATCTCACCTTTAATATTTTTTAGTCTAATATGTTCAGATTTCACAAGGTACCAACCACCTTGTAAAATCTGCTTTTCCTTTCTTCCTATGCAGGTCATTTAAGTCAGTACCTTTCTTTTACCTATTTCTGTCACCAAACAACATTACACCCTCTACTGTGTTTCTGTTTACGTGGTAAGAGAGAGCCAGTACAATTACAGGTTGTGAGGTTTCATCCTAATCTTCAGGTGTGACAATACATGTGGCCTTCTTTGTTAAAAGTTGGTTGCAGGTGCCCAAATGCCACAGCTCCGCAATGCTTATTTGTTAATATACTATTATAATAAAAATTTCATAAATCAGTTACTATAAACAGGAATTAAAATTGAGACCATGCTAATGCAGGTAATGCCACTGTTTTATTTTCAGGTGCAAGTTTATAGTGCTTCAACCCTACCTGCTCATCATGACGTAACTGAAATATCCAATAATAGTGTGTCAAACAAATCATCACAAGATAATCTTAAGGTCCAGTTAAATTTGTTAATTGAGACTGCCCTATCCAATGTCAAACCTACTCAGGTATTGCCTCAGTTGCACTCATTATTTAATAGCATATTAGATTGTAATTATCTCATAAAAGCAGCCTTAAAACTTTGTAAAACTAATATTATATATAAAACACTTGTGTATCCTTTACAAACAAAAGTATTCAATACAAAAGATAGTAATTTGATCAATCTTATCAGTGATTTAACAATTAAAATAGATCTGTTAGAGTACATTCTTTTTCGTGGTGATAATTCATACCAAAACATTGAATTGTTTGAGAAAAACTTTATACAACTTAGTATTTTATTTATATCTAAATCAGATTTAGATTTAGCTTCAATATGTTGGTTAAAGTATTCTGAATTGAAATTGCCAATCCAACCTAATGATATTGTGAGTATTTTAAATGCTATACCATATAATATTAAAATAGGTACTCTTATTACTTGGTTACACAATTTTGTTCCATCTATTTTGGAAGAAAACCCATTTTATGTTGACCTATTTGTCAAATGGACAACGGAAAGAGTTTTTCATTTAGAACAGTCACCATACTGGCCTAAAATAGGTTTAAAGTTTATTCAGGAAGTCATCTCTGTGCTAGAAAATTCCTTTAAAACTATTTCAATAAGGCCAACATCTTTAGATGACCTAGATCTTTTGAAGGATCATATTAATTACATCATGGAGTTGAAAGAGAAGTATAGAATCAATATGTTACTTAGTGAGTTAAGTTCCCAGAATCCAACTGAAGTAGCTCTCATAATGTTGCGCCGTTGTTACACAGAGGATTTGGAAGATTTTCTCCAAAACAACTTGCCAAGTTATGCATCCCGTCATTTATTTGAATTAGATGACATGTTACAATCTTTTATAGAAAGTGAAGCAGCAATGAGTGGAGGTAGTGTTGATGGTATTCGCTTGCAAATGTTATTAAATGCTTTCCGTTCAACTAGTAATAGACTTGACTGTCTCCTTCAAGTGTTAAAAGTGTTGGATGTGCCATGGAATAATACTATAGTTGATCTTGCTGTTACTGCTGCTGCTTCTGCAAAAAGAGATTTTACAGTCACCGATGCAGATAGACTGTTAGCACAAGAAATTCATAAAGAGTTGAACTACGCAAAACTAAAGGTTGTATTAAAAAAATATAACTTTCCTTTAACATGTACTGATTACAATTTAGTGCTTCATAAAATAATTGATTCTCCATCTATTGATCTTGCTGATTTAAGAGTTATAACAAGTGTTTTACCAACACATACAAATCTTAGCAGCATTTTGTATATTGATAAATGTCTACAGAACTGTGAAATAAAGCAAGCCTTAAACTATTTCAAGCAATTGAAAAATATGGAAAAAAGGAAATTGCTTAAGACTATAATTAACAAATTTGAAATCATCATTAATGGAACAAAGTCTAATGTTAAACTTGAAAGAAATTATCTTGACTTCTTAAAAGGTACTCAGTCTGTAGATGATATGCAAATGACAACTATAGAGAATTTATACCACCTTAAAAATTCATATAATATTATGTTAAGCATGAATGAAATATATAAAGAAAATTGTTGTGAAAACAAATTGCATACATGGATTCAAAGTGATGGTGCGTTAGCAAGTTCAGGACGTGGTAGGTGTATAACTCATTTGGTAAATAAACATCTGTCGAGAAATTCTGCTTTGTTAGTTCAGTTACGTCAAACTTCAACAAGTCAAAAAGTCCGAGAATTCGTTGAATGTATGTTATTATCTGATCCTTGTGATTCTAATATGACATCAATATTGTCATCATTTAAAGATGGAAATAATTCTAGCCTTTTGATAGAGTGCTATAATATACTGTCTGAGTTAGTTTCAAAATGTAATGAAGAATATTTACACTACATAATTAAAAGACTATCTATTTTGCATTCTTTAATAAACACAAATATTGTTTTAAAGAATTTATCGGTGGCATGGAAATTTCATTACATATTTTTACCTATTTCTTCTGTCAATGCCTTAAATGATTTAATTAGCTTCTATTGCAAGCTACCCACAAATGAAATCAATTTGGAATGTGAAATTTCAGATATTTGTAATAGAAGTGATTTTATACCATTTAGATTGATTTCATACTATATGACTGTAGTGTTTGAAATGGAAAAGGGTTCTTGTGAATATTTATTAAAAATGAGAGATAGATTAGCAAGGAAACTGCTTACTAAGATAGTTGCTTCACAGGATCTAGATAATGCTCTAGTAACAATTTTACTAATAATTTTAACCTCTTTTGAAGTAACGGAAGATAAAATGTGGGTTTTAGAAACACTACGTGGTCAGTCTGACTCTTTTGCGCCTTCCGTTATATATTATCTATCAGCTTCAGTGACACGTCTTATATTTGGACTAGACAGCATTTTACCAGGAAACATAATAACTTATCCTCCTCAATATATTTTGAAGTCCAAATTCAATATTGATTTGTCAGAAATTGCTTTACCAGATAGTACTGAAGAGACATGGGATGTGAAAGTTGTGCTTTTCCATGTTTTACGGCATTATTCTAACATCGAGTTAGATCGTCTGCTTGATTTATGCCGAACATTGAATGTATCTTCTAATGATGGTTTATCTTTGTTACTTATATCACTCTTAACTAATTGGGATCTAAAGTATAAATTAGTAGATGATGATCTTGGTTGTCGTGAAATAAAATTGCTGAATGATGAAACGGAAATTATTTCTAAGTGCTGTATAATCTGGGAAAGTATTGAAAATAGGGATTTTCTTAAAGATGTTTTAAATGACTTCTGGACAAAGGGCGAAGTGATATTGCACGGTTGTGTGGTCTCAATTAACCCATACTATTACGAATTATACTTTTGTATATATCATCTCATATTTAGAGCAACTTCAAATTCTCGCAATATTAAGCAGTATTACCTGTTAAATTTTTTAAAAGAATATAAGAGAAAAGGTACGCCAAAACAATACGAGTTTGAGTTATTCTCAGTAAAAGGCATGTTTCCGGAAATTGGGTATTATCGACTACCTTTTCACCTCTTCATGCGCGATGATATGTGGACTCATTTAAAAACTGAGATAACTTTAGAAACTTATGAACGATGGCTGCCTATTGTTGCGATATTATCACTTGATAATGATTTACAAACTGCCAGAGATATGATTTGTAGCAACGCCGTGAAGCAAACAATGACCTCAAGAACGCGTAATGACCGTCCAGATTTAAATTCAAAGGAAAACGAACCATGGCTATTGACTTCTCGAGAAGAGCCTTTGCTTCGTACAGCTCATAGATGTGTACGTCATATCGCAAATATGGAATGGGCGGGTGCATGTCTTTTCTATGTCTTACAAGGGTGTGCTCGAGGAGCTGATCAAGTAGCTGCAGCTCATTTGTGCTTCCAATTTTCTCAACGTTGGGCTGCACTTCAGCCAGACAACCGCGCGGTTCGACAGATGGAACGTTTACATTCAACACTTTCTACGCGTCATGCTTTGCATAAAATAGATTGGGCTTGCGAAGAATTTATTCGGCTGTCTACTGAACCAGCTCAGCTTATACATGCCATGTATCTTCATCCTAATTTCGTAGATAAAATAGCACGACATAATGTCAATCGGGCAGCAAATGAAATAGCGGACAAAAATGGTATCAATATAAGTTCTATTAGAATCCAAATTTTAGAAAACATTCTTGAAAAAAATCAAAAAGAAAGAATGAGTTTTCCAGGCCTTAATACAAAAGAGCTGATTACTGCAAAATATATCCTAAAAGCTACTTGCCCCAAGATGGGAGCTATTTATTTGTCGCGAATAGCTTTCGACGATGAAAGTGACTTTAACAAATGCAAAAAACTTAGAGCTTTTCAGTGTTTGATGAGCATTGTAGATCCTGACACTTCAGTCAAAGTTACTAACCGTGTACGTGATTCGCTTTGGTCGTCACTTCTGGAATTATTATATGTAGTCAATCTTGAATTAATCGATATGCCCTGGATAGTTGCCGCGTTCTTACAAGATAAGATTCTTGCTATCCACCAGTTGCTCCAAGTTGCTAGTGGAAATATTGAAGGTTTGAAAATTGCCGCAGAATTGGCATATAGATACGGAAATTTGCAAATTATCCGTGATATAATTCCGTTACTGCTTCGTGCATCCTTGTATGAAGATATTATTCCATTATTACTAAAAAATTTTCATCCTCCAGATGATATTATGTGCACTGCTTGGCGTGCAGTTTTGTTAACACCTTTTCAGCGCGCAGATTATCCTATAACAGAACGACAAAGGAAAAAATGTCTCAATGTGTTAAATTTGTTACCAATATGCCCATTAATAAAAGATGAAGACTTAATAGAAATATGGAAAAATTGTGTTCGATGTAAATGCCTTGGCCTTGGCTGCTTAGTTTTGCCATACATGACTTCGCAGACTAGGCAAAAATTAACCGAACTACAAAAAATTGATAGAAGAAACCTCATCATAAGTCTTAAAAATTTACAAACGGAATCATATCTTGTTTCTGGAGCAATGATTGTTCTTGAAAATATGGGCTCGAAAGCTTATAGATAAGATAAACATTTAGATTTAACTTAAGATAAGTTAAAACGACTAGGTTGCTACTTGTGAGTTCATGCATTGAGAAAAGGTCAAAAGTCTCAATTATTAATCTACATAAGTATATGAAAAGTCCACGAAAATAATTATCAGTAAGTTAAGTTTATTTTAAGCTAAGCAATTTTTTTTAACTTACTATTATTTTCAATATGTTCCAAAAATGAAAACCACTATATCCTTCAAATTATTTGATAGGTAGTTTAAAAATCTTAACATAAAAATGATTGAAGTCTGCAATTATGATCGTTTTGCCACAGAACACAATAACTCTCTACCGAGAGAAGAAAGCCGAACTAAAAAATGAAACACGCGTCTATAAGTGTATACTTCTAGCGCCATAGTGGGCGCCCATATGAAACATTTTTCGTATTCTGTAACTTACATATGCGTGTAATTTAGGCTCAAGCCTCACAAACCTATGGGGTAAATTGCCGTACATTTGAGAGGTTGTACCAGAATTACTCGAATATATTTTAGATTAGGATCTGGGATAAAATGAAACTATAAATAAGTATTGTTTTATACACCACTATACATTAATATTGATGTTTTATATTGCTTTTGCATGTAATATTTCCCCATGTCATTGATATGTAATATATGTTATTGTCAAAGAGTTATTCTTCATAGACTTTAATAGTCAAATTAGCAAAATTCTCATGGTATAAACTCAACCCAAATAAAATAATCTGAAACAGATAAAATTCGAGTCAATATAGTGATAATCCCTACAAATAACGGTCAATAAATTCAAAATGTTTAAAGACTGACAACAATATTGTCATAAGTTTTCTTGTTCTATCGTAGGAAACTTGCAGAAAGTGATATGATGTTTTTGTGCTTTTTGTTTGCATATTACACTTAACTTAGTTTTGATTCTGATCATACAACATGCAAAAATTTTAAAATAATGAATATATAGTCAATATCCCATACAGAGCATCTCACAAAAAATCTTTATATACACAATCGTGAGAGACAATGCCTACAAACGAAAACTTAGTATTCTGAATCAACATAATATTCAAATCTTAAGCTATGAAATAATTTGAGAAATTTTTTTCAACATGAAATAAGTGGACAAACAAATGTCATGTTTTATTTTTTTAATTCATAGCTTCTCTTGATAGAATTGTGCTAATATTTAATAATTTAATTTTAATCAATTAATAGGTTAATTAATTGTGCAAAGCTCAGAGTAATATGTAAATAATTACTGAAAAGTGCAAACAAAAATGAATACATATAGCACAGAATTAACATTTTCAGTTTCTTCTGATATAATAATTATGTAGATATATTTGTATTTAATTTTTAAAATGGCAATCGTAAACAACGTGAAAGAAAGAAACAGCGATATCTTTTTCTGGCTTTATTTTTAGTTCCCAACCCACACATAGACAAAATTATAATTGTGTGCAAATTTCTCAAATTTCATACAAAAATGAAATTTCTCAAATTTCACTACCTAGATTAAGTTGAAAACAGCCAGACTATAAATTTCAAAACTGGTTATGATTTTTGTCTATTATCAAGTGCTTTATGCAATTTTGCATTAAATAGTGATAAATAATTCTTGCAAAATGTCACATGTGTAAATAGTTATGTAATAAATGTATTAAAGAATTTATAAAAATTGTATTCAATTTCTTTCAAATTTTTTGTTTTGAAAATATATTAGCTTCAGCAATTATTGATCAGCCTATATACACGTCCCACTGCTGGGCACAGGCCTCCTCTCATTTCTGAGAGGGTTTTAGGGCAAGGAAAGTTTCGCCGCGCTGCCCCAATGCGTGTGGGCGAACTTCACATGTCTTCAAAATATATACTTATATTTTTTCTTATTTGTCAGACATGCCGGTTTCCTCACGATGTTTTCCTTCACCGCCGAGCATGTGGTAAATCAACACTTAAAATTGCAATTAAGAATTTCATTGGTGCTAGCGGGGATCGAACCCGGGTTTTACGCGTACTGTGAAACTTACAGCAAGCGCTAATCATCTGAGCTACCACGGGCCAAATTAGCATTAATCGTATAAAAATTGTGGTGGCGGCGAATGAAATCCATCACTCCACCGAAAAAAAAGGAAATCCAACAATCCCTTGGGTGTCGTAAGAGAAAGGCGACTTAGCCATTCAAGGTGACCAAAATGAGGTAACAACCGATAAGAAAGAAAGGGTCTCTAGTACTGGCAAGCACTCCTTTTCATGGACGCACACTATTCGAGTGGACCCTGAGAAACTTCCAATTAAAACATGTGTGGTACCAAGGTAGGCACTCGGCACCGGTTCTAATGTATCTCTTTCTGTACTCCTGCACTCAAAGAAGTCAGGTTTAGTGCTTCTAATCTCTAAAAAGAATACTGGCCTACACCGTCACCTCTTTGTACTCCAAATCAATGTAGTCCATTAAAAATTGTCAGGTCATGAGGTATCTAAAATAACATTAGCTGACTGGTAATAATCAGCCGACAGTAAGGTTTACTTTTTTGGTTTCGCTCTACTGGCGTCTAACGATGTTTTAGCCTACCTGACTCACCAATGGACGGCAGTTTGTTTTTACATTCCTTGTTAAACCTTAAATTGAACTGACGCTTACAGTACTATTGGCCGTTCAAAAAATATCCTATTTAGTACCCAGTACATGATTTTAAAAGATACTAATGGGTACCTATATATTTTTCACGAATTTCAAATCCGTGTACACCATGACCACAAATGAATTAAGTATGTAATTTCGTCGGTTTTTTTTTTGTTGATAACATACTTTACGTTAACTGTGCTGATAGATAGGTAGCAAATATTATGACTAGTTAAATATAGTAGATTTTAGAAAAAAAAATTTCGTTTTTCAGATATAATTTTGTTACTACCCGCGCGGTTAAAGAATGGGATTGAAAATGGCATCGCTTCTATTCACCTCTCTCTTTCATACTGTCGTTATTTATACTCCATCTATACTCACATCCGCCGGTGAAGATTGCAAAAAAAATACGTTGCGATATGCGTTTTACGGTACGTTTTAAACTTCAGTCCATCTTCTCATTGGAATCAATGATTACGAATTCCTATATCCTAAAAAAAAAAACAGTCCGGTTTTGTTAAATTTGTGAACTAGACTGTTCTGTTCTGAGTTCTGAGAGTTTTCTTCATAATTATTGTAGATTTTGTTTGTTAATATTTTTGTACGAAATATTTATATGACATTGAGACACGAGTAACCTTTTTAAAAAATTTGGTTCGTCCGTCTGTCCGAGCTAATCTTCGGAATAGCTGAACCGGTTTTAATAAAACTTCAAGAAGAAATAGACAGTAATACCAGAAGTGGTCTAGACTTAATTTTTTCCGATAAATTTAGAGATTTTATTAAAATGGAAATATGGATTCTTATCTATACAAATAAATAAAACTGAAGTGTCTGTTTGTAGGAGGGTAGAATGGGGTAATGTCGGTCACTTAAGCAACAATTAATACACAGCGTATATAAATCAACATATCTTTATAGAACTAATCACAATCTCAAATATAATTATTCTACTATCAATGGTACTTTAATTCAGATCACTAGTAATCAGTTTTGGCATGATAAACATTTTTTAAAAATACGTGTTTGACTGGTATTACACGCAATGTAAGGTAAAACCAGTCAGCTGTTGGATAATACCAGTCAAGCTTAATGGGAGCATAAATCACATTTATAATCTGTTGCAGAGTCACGTCCTGAGCATTCCGAGTGGGCCCAATGTCTACACAGTACACATCTGTACCACAACTCGTTGTCTCGTTATACATCTGTTCCCGATATCATCTAGATCCGTATCATCGTCTTCGCGTAAATCTGTCATCTCTATTACAGAGTTTGAAGTACTGTCTTCGTTCATAGACTCATTCGTAATACTTTCCTCTTCACTCCTTTCAAATGATTTGAATTTAACTTGATTTGATCGCACTAGTTTTTGTTATTTGTTAATTATATTTGTGTCTTTTCTTTTGTGGTAACTTGTATTTGGTTTGATAAGTAGTAATTCGTATTTGTGTAATTTCTATTCAACTCGATTTGATAGGAACTGCATTTGTTAACTGTTAATTTTTTGTTGTATTTGTTATTTGTTATCTTTGTAATTTGTGATCGAGCCACGTCGTAATTGTATTTTGTAGTGATGTCATCGCGCAAGCTACTAATCCGTTGCCTACGGACTGAGTTACGCTGGGCCACCAGCGCCCATGCTTTGATAGGTCGACCGGATAGGGTCCATAACTTGATGAAGCGGTTCGAGCAGGTCGATGCTCGAAGGGCCGCAGTGGAGGAGGCTTACGCTGAGCTCGAGGATTCGGATGTGGAGAAGGGAGTCCTGGACTCCTGCTTTGCGGACTAAGAGCAGTTCTTTTCGCTCACGGACGAGTTGATCGAGGCTGAAGGCAAGTATGCCGAGGAGGCGCGTGAAGCTCGGATGAGTGGCCTGCCCGAGTCCTCTCGGAAGCACCCTCAGCCGGAGCTGTTGGGACGACTCCCAACTCTGGACCTGCCAAGGTTCTCCGGGGTTCTTTCCGAATGGCTGACCTTCGTTGGTCTTTTCGACAGCCTAGTGGACGCCTGGAAAGACTTGACCCCGAGCCAGAAGATGGCGTACCTCCTGGCCTCACTGGAGGGGGAGGCCCTGGGCGTCGTCGGCCACTTGAGATTGTCGGACGACGCCTACCAGACTGCTCGGGACCTCCTAGCCAGAAGATACGCCAACGTCCGGCGAATTGCGGACGAACATGTTAAGCAGCTTCTAAGCCTCCCGCTGCTTAGTGACCGGGCCAGTCTACGTCCGGACCTGTTGGATCCAGTCTTGGTGGCCTGTAATACGTTGAGGCGGCTGGATTTACCAGTGGGCGAATGGGCTTTTTTGTTGCTCCGCATCGTGCTGTCCCGTCTACCTCTCGACCTTCGAATACATTTTGAGGAGAGG